AGAAGCTGGACGGTTGCCCTCACATGTACACATTCCAAAATGAAGCAGGCAGATGGAGAAAAAAATCATCTGAGCTTGATGAGCAGCACGATGCATGGATGCCTGCCTCAATTACAAAAATTACTGAATGGACTTACTACTAATCTTCTTTGTGGTTCAATATTTTTTAAAGTACAAAGTTGCTGTTCTGCATCATCTTCAGTATTCTCTCTGTAATAAATCAGTTTGCTGATGTTTATTCCTGCCAGCGGGGCGACTGTCACATAAAGCTGAAACTTCCATTCAGAAAATGGCTAAAGGGTGATTACACCAATTTTTTTCACAATTTGATCACTTTTGATCTGGTCTAGTTTAAAAACTAAAATACTTAAGACACATAAAACCTGCACTGGATCAGCTGAGGAGGTCTTAGCTCCACCCTGCCACTCAGGAGCTGCAACACCGAGATTAGAGATACAGGCAGACTGAGATACAGGATACACAGTTTCAATCTAACAGCTCACAATCTTCATATTTCTTTCTTAAAGTTTGAGCACCCATCCCCAGTGGAAAATACTAACAAAATGTGTACACAGTAAAAACTGGAGTGTTAAAGTTGCAGTGTTAAACTTTTCACAGTTAATTTCAGCTCCCAAGTGTTATTTTTAACACTTWCTGAGTAAATTAACATCCAGTGTTGGTGTTAATTCACAGAGTTAATTTCATCAGTGTTGTCTCAACTCTGGACAGTGTTATAAGCGCCGTCCACTGTTAAATCTTGATTAACACTTAACAGTGTTGAAAGAAGTACTCTGAAAAGTCCCGCCCTCTTCCTCAAAGACCAGAATTTTCTCAGCAAGGGATGCTGGGTAATCTTGTAGAAATGATGTGTTTGCTTGACTAAGACTGTTTAAAATGTTCATTAATGTAAAAAAAAAGAGTTTTTTGGTCAGTTTTCTTGTTCAGGTTGGTTAGTTGTTTAAGTTTAGGTTTTGTGTTACTGGCCATAAATCGACACCATGAGTGAGAGGTACTTCCTGGTGTGTGAAAGTCGACCCTGTAGCGCTGCTCAATAGTGTGAAGAACAGAGTTGGTACAACACTTCAAGAGTTGATTTTAACACTTGGTTAGAGTGCATAACTGTGTACTCTGACTCTTACTGAGTAAAAAGGAAAACAAAAATAGGAGTATCACACAAAAAACGGTGCTTTTATGATAAATTTAGTGCAACTCCAGAAAAATAATATTACTCTGCAGAGTGTAAACTAAYTATAGTGTGAAATAATTTTACTCTTTACGTTGTTGCTTTTGACACTAAAATGAGTCAAATTAACTCAGAAGTTGACACTGGCTATAGAGTACATTTTACACTAATGTTGAGTGGGGACAAATATTGTATGAAAGAGTTAAATTCAACTCTATAGGTGTTAAAATGACACTTTGTTTTTTACTGTGTGCTTTTACAGTAAAACTTATTCAGTCCTCATGTTTAACACTGAATAAAGGAGCTTTGAAGACATCTTCATTATACGCCCACCTTCTGTTTAAAGTCACATTGGAACATGAAAAGTGTCTGAAGCCGCAGTTTTAGCTGAATGGAAAAACAGCAGAGCACAAAATAATATGTCAGTGCTTTAAAATGTCTCATTAAATATATCACAAGTCCTGAGCAAGACTGTAGCAGGCAGGAAGTTATAGTTGAACCACTTTTTCTACTAAACATCAAACAGTAACATCAGAAACGCAGCTGTTCACTGAATGAGACCCTCACGTTTTCCTACTCTGCAGATTCTCGCAGCATCCTTCTTCTTTGTGTTCAGCAAAATGTGTTTTAGAAAAGCGAACCAGCTGAGGGGGCATTAAAGCGACATCATAAGAGATGTGTGGACAGGAAAATAAAAAGAGGAAACTGAAGCCGTCACACAGGAAACTCCCTCGGAGCTCTCATCAACATTCACAAGAATCTGTCATACAAGAAGCTGCTGAGACCAGACGGGATGAGGACCTGCAGGTGAGTGAGAAGCACCTGTTCAGACGGCAGGTTCAACTCTGAGCATGTGTTTGTGAGGAGAGGAGGCTGTTTGTTTGTTGGGTTCTGTCCTGTGAGCTTTGAATGACAGTAAATGTGTCATGATGATGAGATGGTTTCAGACTGACTCAACTGTTGCAACACAGACAAAGTTTTTCCATCTGCTTAGTGCTTCCCTTAAATCAATGCATCTTTCATTTCTGTCTGAAGCTTTCACGTCTCAGACTTTAACTCTGCTGGATTCCCATAATTCTTGTCCAGCAGGGGGGTTCCCCTCCCCCTGACCTGCTACTGTAAACAACTTCAAATAAGTAGTCACGCCTGACAGACCCTTAAATTCCCCTTCTCTGCTGCGTTGAACAATAGGGTGCTTTTGTTTTGATTTATTGTCTGAAACCAGTCAAACTTTCATATCACACATAGCTTTCTGATGTCGGAAAGAATGCGTTTTATTTTAAAGATACATTTTTTCATGAAAAACTTGGCAAAATTAAGACATCTGCAACACTTACTCTTTTTTCCATCTTAATCCTTTTATTTGAATTTTCAGCGTGTATTTTTATTTTTCTGTTTTGCTTTTATCTTTTATGGTCTCAGTTAGATTTTCTGCTCCATTTATGTCCAGCGCTTTAGTCAACTTTTGTTTTTACAGTCATGTACTTAAAACTAAAGATCGTGTCTCGTGTGTTTTACAGACAAAGTGACAAAGTRCTCACAAAGTCCTGGTGGTCTTTTGACATTTTGACATTTGTACAAGGCTCTYCTTTTTGAGATGCCTTAAACATGGCCAGGTTTTAAAAGGACCCACGCCAACTAAAAATAATTWAAAAACTGTCCCAAAGCTGCATGTCTGCATTTAAAATGTGGACTCGGCAGACTGAACCAACCAAATTGCTACAAATGCAAAAAAGTGGGCCGAGCTCCCTAATTTTTTTGGGGGGAAATGCTGATGTTACAACCAGTAAATTTACATCATTATACAAACCTGATGTATTTGCTCTAAACGGATTCATGTTAAGCTTTATTTTAGGATTGTAGATGAAATTTTTCATGAATATCTATGAATTTGCACAATTCCAAAGACATTTTTTTGGCAACCATAGTGTTTTGTTGATTAACTTGCGAACTGGAATATTTAGGCTCTGCTGCTACTTGTAACCACAATATGGTCCATTGTGAGGGCAGCTGATGAGGTGGATGTAAAATCAGCAGAGACTACAAAATGTGGGCAAAGATGTATGGAAAACCTTTGGTGCCATTACTCTGCATTGCTGTTCTTTAAATCTTAATCACTAATCTTAATCATGGCAGMCCCGCCTCTGTCAGTCTGCCCCAGGGCAGCTGTGGCTACAATGTAGCTTACTGCCATCAGTGTGTGAATGTGAGTGTGAATGAATGATGCATGAAAATTGTAAAGCGTCTTTGAGGGTCTCGAAAAGCGCTATATAAAACTAATGTATTATTATTATTATTATTATTAAATAAAGAAATGAATGTGATTTAACTAAAACAAAGATGAACGATTATTAAAGCGAGGTCTTTAGATTGGATAGAAAATTTCCCTCATGCAATATGTGCTTCTAATTACTTAAAAAAATAACCACTACATCTACTTAATGGTGCCTTATACTTACAACTTGTAAATTCAGTAATCTGCACTGGAAGAGCTACTCTGGAAATAGAAAATCAAATTGAAGGGTAAATATTCAATTCAGGTTGACTTTTACAATTTTCAAAACTGAACTGAATTTTGTTGATAATGTGGCTTTAGTGTTTTATAGCATTTAAAGAAAAGCTAACACAAAAACCTAAAAAAAATGAAGTGCAGATGGGGCGACGGCACGCATAAAATGAAGCCATTAGAATAAAGACAAACATTTTAGCATCTACTTATTTGTACAAGTAAACAAAGTAAGGCTTTAATCTGATAAAATATTTTGTTTTAAAACATGTTTAAAATTTAAATCAAAATAAATAATTCAAAATATATATGTATATTTATGTTTTTTCTATTAATATTGTTTTTGTGTGTGTCAGATTCAAGTTTTGATAAAGGTTCAATGGTAAATGTTTCATGAAAAATGTGTTTAGTTCCTCATTTTTTAATTGCATAATCAGTGTTTTAATTTTTTTTTTTGCAAAAACTATAAATAAGAGATTTTTTTGTTTGTTTTCTGGAAGAATTAAATTAGTAGGAAAACATTTTGTGGAGCTTTCAACAAAATGCTGTGATTGCCAGACTTTCACTGTTAAACTGACAAAATACAGTACTACAATACAGATACATAAAACTAAATTTTATAACTTTGTTCTTTCAAAATGTCAGGTTGTGTGTTGCTTTTGCAGGGAGCAGGCAAAACTCAGGAGTCCAGAAACACAAAAGATTTAATTACAAAACCAAAATGCTGACGAGGCAGGGAGCACAAAGGACTAAAGCAGTCTGGCGACAGGACGCGCAAGAAATGACAGGGAAGTTAAGACAAGACATAGAACATAAAGATTAAGAAAAGAGAGGATGATGGAGAAGAAACAGGATCAGGTGTGCGTGGGAGGAGCAATGAAGAACACAGGGGCGGGCTTTCAGTGAGGATAACGCAAAGACAACACTAAAGATAAACAAAAGATCTTCACAAAAAAAAGAGCTCGCCTCGGTGTTAGATAAAATTTTACATTGGGTCCATATTCAATGAGGTTTTATCAAATATTAATTTATGGTTTCCTGTTGGGTTGATATAAAAATCTTTTTGTCAAACGTTTGCTGAAGTTCTATTTTCATTTGCTTTATCTGATATTTTCATTTTGATATGTGAACTCCACAGTGTATGTTGTTTCTTTTTTTACAAATCTCACATGTGAAACCGAGAGATAAGAGGTCATGTGGTGACATCCCACATGAAGAACGCACTCAAAGAGGAAGAACGCTGGTGATGTGGTCATGACTCATTTTGTTCATGATTTCTAGTAAATGAGGTTCTGTCTCGTCCTCTCTGTTCGTTTGTCTTGGTGAAAACCCACCAGCCCCTCTGCGCTCTAAACTCCTGGATGTTGCGAAGATAAGATCAGCAGGAAGGATGGCCCTCTTCAGGTTCTGCGTGTGGTCGGTTCTCCCCTTCGTGGCTCTTTCTTCCGGACCGGATCTCTGTGGGTTTCAGGAAAGCAGCAGCTCATACAGCAGTGAGTATGAAAATAACTTTTGATCTGTTTATTAAAAATAAAACAAGAAGGGGATTTACAGTAAATGTGGAAGTTTTGTGATTATTTAATATTTGTATTCAAAACTTAAAGATCAAACTGTTGATATGCTGAACTTAAACAGGCAGACATATTTAGTATTTGCATTATTTTCATATTTTTGTCATGCAAAACTTTCAAAACTTCCTCTTTAAAAGAGCTTTTATAATCTGGAATTTGTTTATTAGCTAAATATAATACATGCTTTTGTCAATATTTTTAATATTTTTATAAGCTAAAAAACATGCAAAGCTTTTGCAAAAAAAATCATGAAATATTCCTGCTGAGCAAAAATGGAGCTCGAATAACATAAGTTGTTCAAAGAATAATTCCTCTAGTAACCTGTTAAAACACTTAGCCATCCATATTAAGGAATTATTTACAATTAACATTAAAAATTAAAAAGTACTGTTTACGTATGATATTTTATATATCATCATTACTGCCATTGATTTGCACCAGAATTTACAGTAAAATAGTCTATAGAAACACTTGGTTGCCACTGCCCTGCACTTAACAAATTGTTTTTCAAACAAAATATTTTGTCATACTAACTTTTGTTGTTGTTGTTGTTGTTGTTGTTGTTGTTGTTGTTGTTGTTGCTGTTGTTGTTGCTCTTACAAAATATTTTACATATTCTATCATGTCATGTTTTAGTATTACATTAAATCAGGAAAGAAAAAAATTACTTTGTCACAATAACATTGTAAAAGAATTTTGGGAAAACGAGAGAAAAATGTCATAGAAGTCATGAAAATATCATCCTTTATGTATAACATGAAAAAATATATTGATCAAGCAATATTTTTCATGTTATCAAAAATACGGAGGGTTTTGTTTTGTTTTATTTAGTTTTTTGTTGTTGCTTTTGGGACGGTGGCAACAATGTGCTTCCATACACCCATAAATCTTTACGTATCAGTCTTAATAACTTTTACGATTTGTGAAAATTGTTTGTTCAAATAATTTGTTGTCAAATTATAACATCAAAAGTTTCATATTTGAACCATATGTTTTTATGTTGTTAGAATATAAAAATAACATGAAAAGATATTATATTGTGATAAATATCTATAAGGTATGTTTACATAGAATTGTGTTTGCTAGCATCTGAAATTGTTTCATAAGAAGATGAAAATACTATAATGTAAAAAGGGAATTGTTGGAAGACAAAAACTTTTATATGATTTAATGCAGCTCCATACATTTCAACCCTTGACCCTCAAAAATCTGTCATTTTCGGGGGTGGGGGGGCAGAGCCAACAGCACAGGAGCAGGGAAAGAAGGATGGGGAGAGGTGGCCAACTTATTTCTAGTGGCAGAGCAGGTTGTGAGATGGTTATTTAATTTTGTTGGGGGGTTACGTTGAAACTGAGATTTTGCAAAAAATATGTGGGATTTCTCTATGTGTTCTTTTATGTACAAAATGGGGGAAATCTGTGTAATTTATGAACAATCCATACAACTTGACGTGTATGCAGCTCTGTAGTATTTTTTTATACAAGTGGCAGCAATGTGCTTCTGTACAACAACCAGGAATATTTCATAAAAGCAGTTAATTACTTGCATAAATGTATTTTCTCTCTTCACTCAGCGTCGTCGTTGCTGGAATCCTTACAATGCTACAACGACTACAGGTCCCAGGTGCTCTGCATGTGGGAGAAACAGAGAAACTGCACTCTGCAGCTGTGGATCAGGGCAGATGACCGCAGGTAAACAGGATATAGGAGGAAGATGAGGTCTAATAAGTTCAAGTTAAATTATGGAGACGGTTTTCCAGCTGACAGCTCTGTGTTTGTGTCTTCACAGTGAGTTGTGCGTTCCTTTTAACCCTGCAGCAGACAGTGGAACTGCGCACTGCAGATACAAGACTCGTCTGCTCACAATCGGCATCAGCCACACCGTCTTCTTCCTCAACAATGAGACGAAGAGCCTCTGCTCATCTGCCCAACATAAGTTTGAGCATGTTGCTCTGAGCTGTGAGTTCAAACATCAGTGAGCTCAGCAGTCGTGGTCCAGGATCAACCTCTTTAACGGTGTTGTTCTTGTGGCACAGTGAGAGCTCGCCCACCTTTAAATCTGTCATCGTCTGAGGAAGATGACGGAGGCCGAAGGCTGCAATGGTCCAGCCCGTATCCTCTTTCATCTCTGAACCAGAACCTGACGTATCAGCTCAGCTACAGGACTCAGACTGAGGACAGCTGGACTGTAAGTCCCAAACCTGCTCCCTCTGATTCGGAGCACATGGACACGTTTCTGATACAAAATGGTTAAAGACGTGTACAAAGAAATGTTCTTGTCAGAAATACATCCCGCTTCTCCTTTTCTCTCTCTGCAGTCTGAGAATGTCACGAACACCAGTGTGAGACTTGAGAAGGAAATGTTGCTTCCAGGCCGCAGATACGAAGCCAGGGTCAGAACCCGGGCCAGTCTGGGCCGATGGAGTGAATGGAGTCCGGTGGTGACATGGCGGACTAAAGATGGTCAGTCAAAGGAAACTAATGTAAAATTCTTGCCCACATTTTAAACTATCTTTGTAGCTGTTGTTGTTTACCACGTTCTGGGCCGAGCTTTATGAAACTTGGCCTTAAGTTAGAACTAAGGTGAAAACGAGGAGGAGCACAAATCCAGATGCAGCCTTTTTGACTTCTACAAAAAAGTTGTATGACACCATGTTGTAAAACTTACAGGAAATTGACCATTTTCAATGAAATGGCATTTTTTAACTGTCTTCTCTTTTGTCCTCAGATTTTGGTCATGTTCCTCCTCTGGACTGTGTTCTGGATGGAGAGAAGTCTGTGACGTGCAGCTGGGAAGTGAGCACAGAGCTGGCTCACCTTGTTACCTACCAGCTGATGTGCCGGCCCAAACACTCGGCACAGTGAGTTGAGCAGAACGCTGACGGTTGTTTTGGGCTGTAACCTGATAATATTTTCATTCACTGACCCTGTACTTCCTCCTTTTAGGCCCGAGAGATGCTGCAGAGACCCAGCTGTGAGTTCTGACTCCAGTGGGACAGCTGTGAGGTTCAGCTGCTYGCTGACTGTCGCAGACCCCGAACATCTGCAACTGAGCCTCCGACCGGCACACAATGCCAAGGTCTTCGAAGTCCACCAATGCAGTGAGTCAAGGCTGTAACGTCTGAGGGGAAGGGGCCCTCTGAGACAAAAATAAAAAGAGCTAAATTAAAAGCACACAAGGGGCTGATAAAACCACAGGAAGCCGTGCAGACCAAGGGTGGTTAACTTCTGGGCACGCCGTCTGGTTAAACAGCACCACCTAGTGTTTAAATGATGCCATTGCATAAAACTGTCCCTGGGAAGTCAGGCGTCTCCCTAACCCTGATTAACTGCTTTTTATCACTTAAAATGTAAAAAATATTTTTATAAAGCTTTAAAAAATGCAGTTGGATGGGTCTTAAAAACTCAAAATACAATACAATCAATACATAGGCGACACTGCTGTGTTTGTGCCTCTTTAACCACGGAAAAACTTGAACCTCTGTTTGTTTTGGAAAAATCATAAGCCAGTGTAACCATTTCCTTCCTCAGTATTTTGACCTTTTTATTATGAACACTCTCACCTCCCAGTGGGACTTCAAAGTTTTAGTTAAAATTGTATGGATTAAAAAATTATCTGTTAAAAGAAATGGTCAAATGAAGACTTTAGTTATCAATTTTTTACAGGGACATTTTAAGTGATGTAGTTGTTTTTACGGCTTTAGAATGGCTGCTCGCATAGTATATAAAATAAATACAGTATTTAGAATCCTGAAATAGGCACTGAGACCTCATACATGAGCTAGTAAAGACRTTATGAGCAAACAATGTCTTGTCTGTTGTAGATGACTTTTATAACCACCACATTTCAGAGAAATTGAGTTAATTTTTTTACCAGATGGATGAGCTAATAGCTGGTCCACATCAGGACAAGACCAAAGTGGACAACATTAAGCTAAAAACATTGCCTTGTGGTTTGTGTATATCAGTTTAGGTTTAGCTCCAGTATCAGTACTACTCATCACAGCATAAATTTAATTAACTAAGTTGCTGAACTTACATTTAAAAGCAAATGATTTGGTCTGTGATAAATTTCATAACTCCTCAGTAAAGAAATAAAAAAACTAAAGTTCTTTGGGGGGGGGGGGGGCTTTTTGACAGCGCAATAATCCTTAGATATTGTTAGCCACATAGGATAGTCAGATGCAGCCTAAGTTTTGGGGATTTGTTGGCCACACTTGTCGGCCGCACAAGAAAGCAAATGCACCCTAGAAAGCAAATGCACCTTACATCAGCTGCAACCCATGATTTGAGACACAGCCACTGATTTACCTCCTCTAAGCACTGCAGAAGCCTGTTAATCACCATTCATTCAAATCAGGTGTGTTGGAGCAGCGAAACATGTAAAACAGGCTAGATAGCATCACTCAAGGACCAGGATTACCTAGCCCTGGTGTTAATGGCATTTCCTCACCATACATTTTATATTATATACAGTAACTTGCTTGGCAGAACTATGTAAAGCGCCATCTAAATGTTTCAGTCTGCACTGAAAATGCTACAGCTAGCTGCATTAGCTTCTATTTGAGCTTATAATTAATCATAAAATGTAAGTTTTATAAAATAGTGTTGGAATAAACTGCATTAAAATTTCGAGATTGGAGCAGTTTTATTATCACAACAATCCACTTTAATCATAGCCCTGCTTAAACCAGCCGTTCGCTCAGCAATCCAATCAGAATTAAACTTTGTTTCTCCAAAACAAAGTTGGTAAATTAGCTATCAACAACAGGTAAGATGATGACTGCTAAAAACTTTGAAAAGCTGAATTATCTCTTTATGGCTGCTTAATTTACACTTTAGAACATAACCCAAAGTAAATACTCAAATCCCACAAAAAGTGTTTTATTATTTTTACTGAAGCCAGTTTCTTGTCCCACAGTTCAACCCGACCCTCCACTGAACGTAACCGTGAGAGAAAAAGACAATAACTGGTTGGTGGAGTGGACCAAACCGGCTTCAAAAATCAAACTTTTTTATCAGGTCTCTTATTACAGGAGACTGGATCAGGTAAGAATCCTTTTGTTTCCCCGTTTAGCTGCAGAAAAAAACATCACAGCTGCTTTTTATTAATTATAAATGTTCTGTAGTGTTTTGAAGTTGTTTAAAAACCAATAATCTGGGATTATCTGCCATCAGAGATCTTCCGACCTGCTGAACATTTCAGAGAGTACGTCTTTCAGCATCCCRGCCACATCCCTCGCTTCTCTCCAGGACTACCAGGTCAAAGTCAGGTCGCTGGTCGTCCCGGGACAAGGCTCCCACTACAAAGGAATCCCCTCGGAATGGACCGAGCCGAAGGACTGGACCTCTAATGAAGGTGTTTACAGTACACTCAGAGTGTGGGGATTACTTCCTGCTGTTTGCTGCTTTGTTTCCTCAGAAAGGCCCCAAAAAACATCTTCAAATGATGCTGACATTAACATCTAATGACTAGTCGACATGATCGCTCTCTGTTACAGCCGTTTGTTCTGGTTTTTGTTTTCTGACAGCCACCTGGTCGCTCTCCAAACTGATCTACATCTTCACTGGTGCTTCATCTGCTGCAGTTTTACTCATTCTGTACCACATCATTCCAGCTTGTCAGAGGTACRAGATGCACAATTTAGAACATTTTGCAAATGCAATCTATATACAGTGGTTTGCAAAAGTATTCATACCCCTTGAACTTTTCCATATTTTGTCACATTACAACCACAAACATAAATATATTTCACTGGAATTTAATGTGAAAGACCAACACAAAGTGGTATACAATTGTGAAGTGGAAGCAAAATTTTACATGAATCAAAACATTTTTTACTGAAAAGTGCGACGTGCAAAAGTATTCAGCCCCCTTTTCCCTGAGTGCAACCAATTGCATTCAGAAGTTGCCTGATGACTGCTAATGACTCAAAAGGGTCCACCTGTGTGTAATCTAATCTCAGTACAAATACAGCTGCTCCGTGACGGCCTCAGATGTTGGTTAAGAGAATATTGGGGAGCAAACAGCATCATGAAGTCCAAAGAACACACCAGACAGGTTAGGAATATGGTTTTGGAGAAGTTTAAAGCAGGCTTAGGTTATAAAAAGATTTCCCAAGCTTTGAACATCTCGCGGAGCACTGTTCAATCCATCATCCGGAAATGGAAAGAGTATGGCACCACAGTAAACCTGCCAAGACAAGGCCGTCCACCTAAACTTACAGGCCGAACAAGGAGATCACTGATCAGAGAGGCAGCCAAGAGGCCCATGGTGACTCTGGATGAAATGCAGAGAGCCACAGCTCAGGTGGGGGAAACTGTCCACAGGACAACAATTAGTCGTGCACTACACAAATGTGGTCTTTATGGAAGAGTGGCAAGGAGAAAGCCATTGTTAAAAGAAAACCATAAGAAGTCCCGTTTGCAGTTTGCCAGAAGCCATGTTGAGGACACAGCAAACATGTGGAAGAAGGTGCTTTGGTCAGACGAGACCAAAATTGAACTTTTTGGCCACAATGCAAAACGCTATGTGTGGCGGAGAAAGAACACTGCACATCACTCTGAAAACACCATCCCCACTGTCAAATATGGTGGTGGCAGCATCATGCTCTGGGGGTGCTTCTCTTCAGCAGGGACCGGGAAGTTGGTCAAAGTTGATGGGAAGATGGATGGAGCCAAATACAGGGCAATCTTGGAAGAAAACCTGTTGGAGTCAGCAAAAGATTTGAGACTGGGGCGGAGGTTCACCTTCCAGCAGGACAACGACCCTAAACATAAAGCCAAAGCTACAATGGAGTGGTTTAAAAAAAAGAATATTCATGTGTTAGAATGGCCCAGTCAAAGTCCAGACCTAAACCCAATTGAGAATTTGTGGCAAGATCTCAAAACTGCTGTTCACAAACGCTCTCCATCCAATCTGACTGAGCTTGAGCTGTTTTGCAAGGAGGAATGGGCAAGAATTGTAGTCATTAGATGTGCAAAGCTGGTGGAGACATACCCTAAAAGACTTGCAGCTGTAATTGCAGCAAAAGGTGGCTCCACAAAGTATTGACTCAGGGGGGCTGAATAATTTTGCACATCGCACTTTTCAGTTTTTTATTTGTAAAAAATGTTTTGATTCATGTAAAATTTTGCTTCCACTTCACAATTGTATACCACTTTGTGTTGGTCTTTCACATTAAATTCCAGTGAAATATATTTATGTTTGTGGTTGTAATGTGACAAAATATGGAAAAGTTCAAGGGGTATGAATACTTTTGCAAACCACTGTATTTCATTTTTGGTTTTTTCTCCTTTGAACAAATAGGAAAGTAATACTGTGGGAGAATTCGGTTCCGTCTCCAGGTAAAAGCAAGCTCCTGTCTGAGATTGAGGTGAGACCCACTGTAGCACTCCTGACTGCTTATATTTGGGGTAAAATATGCTTCATTTTTTACATCATGTGTTCTGATGCAGTCGGCCCCCTCCCTGACCCTCATGGAGAGCGAGAAGACTTTCATCTGCAAAGTGCAGCACCTTGACAGTGTATCAACATGGTAAAATGTCTCACCCTTCACTCAGTGTTTCTGTCAAATTGCCCACTTTTAATTCCAGCTGAACTCCAGCTGTCATCAGTCTTTACTAAAAAAATGAAATGTGATGGGATTTTTTTTTTCTTTTTTCATCCCCATCTCTTCCTGCAGCTCCCCAGAAGCTTTACTGTGGTCAGACAAAGACACTGAAACAAAGTGTGACAGTGGATGCTGGAACCGTGACATCCCGTCCTCTCCGGTGGAGAAGGTCAACGGTTGTGACACGTCATCGATGAGCTTCAGCGGGCCGTACATCTTCTGTCAGGTCCGTCGCACACAAACACCTTCAGGGGTTATTTTTTCACTTATTCTGGTTCTTTGTATAAATCAGAAAAGAAAAACTACGTTTAAAATATACTGTAAATATACTGATCCTCCCCCAAATGTTCTGAGCATGGAGAGGCTTTTGGTTTTAAATTTGCACAAATAATATAAATATTATGCATGACATCTAATCTATTAAACAAGTTGATGAATTGGGAGCCCCCATGAGGGCCTTGAGACTATGTAGAGCAGGGATGGACAACTTTGATGGAAGGGACCACAGTTTTTTGTTAATACTACCAGAGGACCACATAGTGCTGCACACTAACTCGAATGTAATAAAACTGCAATTTTAAACCATATTAAACCAACACACACTGCAGTAACTTGAAGCATGTACAGCAGTTATACACTTGTTTAATAAAAATAAATACAAAACATTAGACACAAACAAAAAACAAACAAACACTTATTTTAACGAGCTGAACTGCAACAGCATAAGACACCTTGAGTGCAAATTCCATCTGGTTCTGGGAAAAAGTCCATGTTGTTTATGTACTTGTAGCCTGGCCCTTGTCTTCCTATGCAGTTCATCTCAATTCTAGTTTCTCTTCACTGCTCCGTCTGGGACTTCTCCCATTGACAAGGATTTCTTCAGGAGAATTTTTGTCCAGGCCAATCAGAAAACAGAACGTTGATTTTCTGCGCAGTGTTTGCTTGTAATTTATTTTACCTGGGCCAATCAGAGAACAGAAGGCGGAGTTTTGAATGACATCAATTTTCTGCGCAGTGTCTGCTAGTTATTTTAGCATACAACAGTGGAGGAAGTGAATGAAGCCAGTCTGTGTTGATAAGGCTTCTAAATTAAATTAAATTTGTCTGACAAAGCAGCAGCTCTCATTTACAGTCGTCTCGTTCGGCTCGGTATATTTCTCCTCTCAGTATGGTTGTTTACAGCACAAGCGATTTCCGGTTAGCTTCTTAGCTTAGCCTCCTTGACAGTGGAGCTAGCACACATATGTCACGGCCAACAGATCCAATCATTTTAAACTTCAGCAGAGGCCACGCCTCCAGCAAGAATTGCTTCTCTATAGCCGAGAGTCCAGACCCTCATTGGAAGCAAAGTGAAGGACAAGGGTCTTGTTGTTACCAGGCTAATGTACTTGTGATTTTAGTAAATTTCTCATATTTAGCTTTGTGCAGCCACAACTTATATTAAAATCCTTCATGGCAGACAGTGTCTTCTCTAAGCAGTCTAAGTAAACATGTAGGTTTGCATTAAAAATCTGGGAAACAAGGAAGTTTAATTTAAACACAAATTATCAAAGTTAATTACAAAAAAATGCTTTTATATATATATATAAACTTTAAAAAAGATTTCAAAGCATTTCCTAAATTCTTAAGTGCACTGAATGCTTTTTTAAGCTTAAAAAAAGTTGCTTTTGTTGCGGGCCATACAGAAGCCACCTGTTGGCCAGATGTGGCCCAAGGACCACCAGTTGCCCATCCCTTACACTATATTTACACCAAATGTGTTGCGTGCCTACAAAGATCTCAAAACGCACGCATCTTGATGCTGGTGTCCAGTGAGGACAGACGCATTTGATGTGAACGTAGACGAGCTTCTTTAGACGCTCGAGGGGAGGAGCCTTAACCGTATTTCGATAACTTACCAAACATGCCGACTTTCTCCCTAATCATCCTCCAGGTAAAGTCCTTTTTATTTCTATCAAAATAACGGACACTGGAATGATCATAAATGATCGGACTATCAGTTTTTCCTCCATTGTTTGTGTGATCCGACTTCCTGGGCTTCTGGGATTTCTGGCTTGTCACCAGTGCGTCACTGAGCAGCGTCTCTCTGATTGGTTGATGCGACACGTCGAGCAGCAAAAGTTCATATTTTCCAATTCACGCGTCGGACGCTTTGGACGTGCCGTGCTCGGCTTCTAGACACCCCTAGATGCGCGTCCACCATTGACTTTGCAAGTAAACCAGATGCTCCTGATGCTCAAAACGCATTTGGTGTAAATGTACCATTATATTTAGACTCCCTCATAAATGTAGTTTACCAACTCTTCACTGTCAGTCACTGCCCAGTAATATATACATTTACTGTCTTGTGAGAGCTGGTAGTAGTTTCCCCTCTGAAAAAGAAACTAAAGAAAAACAAGGTCAGGCTTGTCAGAAAGGTATACTGGTATGTATCCTTTATTCCAGTGGGGAGAATTAGACACTGCCTTACATGTTGGAGCCAAAGTCTGAGCCAGAGAAAGGAGAATGAAAATCACTGCAGAACTGCAGATTTACAAAATTGGTAGCAAGTACTGTGGCATTRTTGTTCTAAAAAATGTAAGATAGAGTAGTGAAAACTGAATGGACTGAAAAATATGAACAGAATATAAAGATATCTACGCAGCATAGGGAGAAACTAAATTAAACTTTCTGCCCTCCTAGAGACTCAAAGTACACAACAAAATGTATTTAAGGACTAAAAACATGGATTTTGAATATGTCCATTTTAAAACAGCTACTCTAAATGTTTAAAAAATGTTTCAAAAACTTGCAGTCACTGAATGCTCGTGTTTATCTGACAGGTACCAGTTCCTGTATTTGCATCGGAGACAGTCCAGATTGAAGAGACAGAAAAAGAAATCCCCTCAGATGTCCATCAGTCGTCTTTTCCGGTGTCGTCCCCTCTTTATGGTAAAGACTATGTGTGCCTTCCAAACAGTACTGTCTCAAGGTCCACAGAGGACATGACGTGTCACAGTGACAACAACTCAAGCCAACAAGACCATGATGGTGCTGAGCAGAATCCATACTTTGTTGATACCTCACCGTGGCCCACGGTTTCAGTCGACCGGTCCAGCCTCATTGAGCCTGTGGTCTGTCCTTCAGATTACACCTCAGAACCGTTCCCCTCCTGGCCTCAGGTGGGCGCTGTTCAGGCCTCAGGATACTGCCACCTCCCCCCAGGCTTCATGGCAGCAGATAAATAAGCAGCAGCTTCCAAAAGACTCAGAACTGCTAAACACATACAGTCTTTTTTTAATAAGCTTTCCACTTTATTCCATGCTGCTTTTGCTGCCTGCGACAAAAAAAAGGTCTATTACATGGTTTAATATTTTGGGTAACTCTATTGTTTTGAAATTTTTTGTACCAAAGATCACTGAGCAGTGCTTAAGACTGAAGTGTAACTTTGTCTGAAACATGTTTTGCAAAACATCTGGGTTTTGGTTCCTGTTTCTTTTTTTTTTCACCTGTTCTTTCATCGACCTGAAGCAAAAATGCATCCTGGACAATCTGGAGCTCTATCACAGACACACAGACAACAAATACGCTTATACTTAAAATAAACTCAAATTTACCAGGAGTTTAAAGTGTGCAGAGTTGGAACATCTGGAGAAAATCTGCAGAAACAAAAGAAGAAACTCCACACATCTTCTGTTCAAGAGCTTTGTCGTTTCAGCCATGAAATCATCTTTGTGGAACATTTAATGAACCGAATGTACTCAGATAAAGCTGTTTTTGTCACTTTATATATCATTTTCATAAAAACATCTATTAAAACGTGATTAGGTGCCAAATGATTAAACCTGTTTGACACATAAAGCCTTCTTCCTTTTAAAGAAATCTGAATATCAGTAAAAAAAAAAAAAAAAGACGTGGAAAAAATAATTCAAAGATTTGCAAATGTGCATAGTAATTTTGGGCATAAATTTGTTTATTTTGGGTACAAACACAGAATTGCCAATATGTAATTTGGATGGTGCTTTATATGGGTTTTTCTTTCTTTCTTTCTTTCTTTCTTTCTTTCTTTCTTTCTTTCTTTCTTTCTTTCTTTCTTTCTTTCTTTCTTTCTTTCTTTCTTTCTTTCTTTCTATCTTTCTTTTTTGTGCATAGAAATTAGAGACAACCAGTCACATTCTAGCAATACCATCTTAGTGTAGTTCAGCGGTGTCAAACTCATTTTCACTCAGGGCCATGCCAGCCTGATGGTTTCTCTCAAAGGGCCAGTTGTAATTAACTTTGATGTTTCGTGTTTAACCTCGACTAAACATCACGTTCCTCATCTCATTGCTACAGCTGAACACCACTAACAAACTATAACTGAGCTCTCTGTGGTATTTTCTGCTCTGAACCGTTTTAATACGTCCTGTTGTAAACACTGAAAAGTACTACGTGTACGACTGACTAAACATGGGATAAACAATACAGAAATACTAGTAAAAGTAAGAGAGTTATGCTCACGGTTGAGATGTGGTGAGTAGCTGCCATCTTGAATTCGGAACTCTCACATTTTTGACATAACCAGAGTTGCTTTGACTCATTCATGCGTGTTCGAGAAATCCTTGAATTTCCTGCGGTAGCCATGTGGAGCTGCCTCAGATCACCCCTTCCCCAAAGCATTGTTTGAAAACATGCTGAAGTGGGAGTGTGGGAAACAGTAGGAGGTTCCTACAAGGACAGAGGCCAATTTTAAGGCATTAGGATAGGTTATGATTCAAAGTCAAATTCATTTTTGATATAAAAAGCTTTTTCATAACAAATGAATGTAACATGGTTGCTTGACTGACATAGAATTGAAGTATGTGGCTGAAAATACATAATACCCCCTCCCCCTTTTAAAAACATTAATACATCTATAAATCTTACAAAGGCCAGATAAAATGCTGTGGCGGGTTACCTTTGGCCTGGGGGCCTTGAGTTTGACACATGAGGTGTAGTTTATAATTTTCAGAATACGTTAGTGTTTGATTATGCATCAGTGTCATCTATCTATATTCTGAAGGTCTTGTCCTAAATGTTGATGTCACTGTGAGAGGATTTTATTTTTATTCACAGTTCCAGCCCAATATTGGAATTCCAGACATCCTGATACCAGCTTCCTGTGGTTGAGCCCTGTGACAAGTATAACTTCCTGTCCAATGAGACATTTGTTAACCAGAATCATGTTCCCACAACAATGTTTCATCCATTTTGTCTTTTCTCTGGCAGTGGAACATAAAAGAGAGTTATTTAATGGTTTTTCTTTTCATTTTTGCAGCCTCACAAAAACCGTTATGTTCCTTCACATCAAATTTGCATCAGAAAGCTTTTGTTTAACAAACAAATTCCTGTATTTTTTCGGAATGTTTGATGATCATTTGATAAAAATGGTTTAAAAAATAGATTTCATCGAAATGATTAGAGTTGATCTGTTTAGTCGGGGTGGACGTGTGCGTACAGCATGTTCTTGTCGTTGGTCAGTGATAAAAACAGGAAAATAAAAGCACTGGAAGGTGTGGGGAGTGTGTGGCGCCGCACGGACGCTTGTGTAACCTCCTGTTCGAAAAACCTCCTGTTTCCTTGTTAACTGTACATCTGGGAATTTAGGCGTACAGATGATTCAGGTRAGGAAATGTTTTCCAAGGACATTCAGGGATATTTTACCTGTTCTTCTCTTTATATTTTAAATGGTTATGTTGTTTGTTTTTTAGAATCAGAGGTCACCTGAGTCTGAGCATCTAGACTTTCCTGTAGTAATTTAAAAGTAACTTGAGCCTCTGAAAGGACAGGTCCAAGGGCTGACAACACGTAAAAGCAGCCAAAGTTCAAAGAAAAACTTTGAGAATAAATGATATAGAGCAATTTAAAGGTCACAAGAAAATGTTATTAGYAAAATGAAACCAAAAAATAGAAGGTGGATTTGAACTGCAAGGTACAGAACTGTGGTGGAAAAAGGTGCTTTTGATCCAGCTGTACTTGTTCTGCATAGATGCACACCCACAGACCTCTGTGTGTGAGGTGATGTCTTTATTACATTTCTATAGATGTACAATTATTTAACAAAACCCAATTTTATTTACATAACAACAACAAAGCAAAAGCATTTATTAGTTTTGGAATATTTCAGTTGAGCTGGATCTAGTCCATGTTCCCATCAGCAAGTGTTTGAATAGAAGGAAACACTTGGTTTTTGAAGGCGTTAATATTGAACCTGAAAGGCTGAAAGTATCACTGTTGAGTCATTTGAGTTGTCACTATTGAGTTGGTTTCTTGGTTAAGAAACCAACTCAATAGTGACAATTCAATCAAATTTTTTTTTTGTGCATGGAAATTAGAGACATTAACCCTAACCCTACCTCACCCTTCTGTGAAATGTTTTGGGCACATGCTTCAATGTGTGAATGGTCAGGAAGAAGCAAATAAGCTTTTCAAATGAGAAAAACATTTAAAGAAAGACTTGTTGCCTTTTGGGAGTATCGATCTAAGCATCGATACTATCAACACCAAGACGAATATCTGTATCGGATCAAGGATGCACTGCAAAAACTGTCCATCTTACCAAGTTTTAAAATCTTATATCAGCCAAAAAGTCTTTTTGATCTTGTTTTGAGACTGATTTACTAATAAGAACTGATTGTGTAAGAATAATAATCTTGTTTTCAGAATGTCTAAGATTATTTGTCTTGTTAGTTTGAAAATTTGACTCAAATTAAGTCAAAAATTTCTGCCAGTGGAGTAAGAAAATTTTACTTRGTGAGACTCTTGAAATAAGAAAAAACTGAGTCAAATCAAGTATTTCAAGAGTCTCACCAAGTAAAAATTTTTTACTCCATTGGCAGAAATTTTTGACTTAATTTGAGTCAAATTTTCAGGCTAACAAGATAAATAATCTTACACTTTCTGAAAACAAGATTATTATTCTTACACAATCAGTTCTTGTTTAGTAACTCAGTCTCAAAACAAGATCAAAAAAACTTTTTGGCTGGATTTAAGATTTTAAAACTTGGTAAGATGGACTGATTTACAATGTGAAAACAATTTTTTTGTTTCCACTTTCTGACAGTACTGACTTTATTCTTCACAAATAAAAGGAAAATATAGTCAGTGGTGCAGAGTCTCCAAATTGTTTGGTGTTAGTTTATGTCAGAGGTTTTTTTTTTTTTTTTTTTGTTATTGTCATTGTTATATTTTTATGTTTTTATTACATTGTTGTTTTTGATTCATCATTTTGCACCTGTAAATATTTTTTAAACAGTTATGTGTAATGTACAGAGCCCATCCAATGACTTGGGATTAAAAAAGTTATCACATGGCCATGACATAATTATTGTGTTGCCACAAATTATTAAGTCATGAGCACGCAATAATTAACGCGTGGTCAGCAATAGGTTAATTTTGAGCAGACTTGTTATGAGAAACAGACATTATTGGAAAAGAAAATAAATAAATAAATAAATAAATAAATAAATAAATAAATAAATAAATAAATAAATAAATAAATAAATATAGATTTTTGGACAAATTGATAAATCCAGTTGTCACCCATGATTGATAGCTGCAGCACATAAAGCTAAGAATTACTTCATGCCTACGTAAGGTGCTGACACGTTGTTCATTCTATTAAAATTCAAATTAATTAGGCCAATTCAGACTTGTCCATGTAAAAAATCAGCAGTCTGCACAGACATGACAGCAATAAATATGTGGTGGCCACGCGTTAATTATCATGTGCCCACGACTTAATGTGTGGCCATGCATTATCAAGTAGTGGGCATGAGCACTCAGTTTTTTTTCTCCAATGTCACTGGACAGGCAGCCTGGTAATGGAAGGTTTATTTACAAGAATTACTTGAATATTTGTATACTGTTACATCGTGTTATTTTGTTGTAGTTAAACACAAAACATTTGTACTGTGTTTTATCATAATTGACTAACTAAAGGCAAAATCACATTTATTCAATGAACATGAAAAGTATTACTATCAGCATTGGTAAAGGCAATACTAGCCCTGTATTTACTTGGTATCGAATCAATACCAAAATTCCTAGTATTGACCACCCCTACCGCTAAGACCTTTTCACAAAATAGTCCCACTGGGCTGCAAGGACAAGGCCCTCCTCCTTCAGCTGGTTTTGGTTGTTCACTTCCTACATCAACAGCGTGAACTCACATAGATGTCAAGATACCGCAGTAGATTTGGTGTATAACTCAGATATGACGGAGTATTAGGGCCACACAACAAGATACTTTTATTATTTTTTATGAGATTAAAGTCATAATTTTGTGAGAATGAAGTCATAATATTATGACATTAAAATCATAATATTACGAGATTAAAGTCATAATTTTATGGGATTAAAGTCGTAATACTACGAGAAAAGTCATAATCATGACGTGTCTATTTCCCGTTCCTCATTTCCTCCTTATTTTCCCCACACCTGCTGTACAGCCATGTSTCTGTTTAYAAAGTAGTCCATGATGACTTGTCACTGTTAGATCAAGATGCTTTCATCCAAATTAGCTACATGACGACCAAATCCGTCAATGCATCCATTAATTACAATACAGCTTCAGTTTATAGTCGTTTGCACAATTTCCAAGCCTTGCTACTGATAATTTGATGCTAATGTGCTAAAAGATTAACTATTTATTTGTAGCAATACTAAAGAACAACTTGACAAGTTGCTCAACATTCCTCATTTTAATGCAGTGATAACTGCATGCTTTTTCATGTAAAAACTACAATATTATGACTTTTTTCTTGTAATATTATGACTTTAAACTCATAAAATTACGACTTTAAACTCGTAATATTTTGACCTTAAACTCATTATATTATGACTTTAAACTCGTAATATTACAAGTTTGTTCTCACATTATTACGACTTTATTTTATACGAATTTAATGTCATACTATTATGACTTTAAACTCCTAATACACTCTAAAAATGAAATGATGGATTTACTTAACCATGTTATGTTACCTGGTTCCACTTAACTGAGTTGAGTAAATTCAAAGCAATATACTCGTGTTCTTTGGCTAAGAAACTGGTATATTGCTTTGAATTTACTCAAATCARTTAAGTGGAACCAGGTAACATAACATGGTTAAGTAAATCCAACATTTCATTTTTTACAGTGCATTACGACTTTAAACTCGTAATATTTTGACCTTAAACTCATTATATTATGACTTTAAACTCGTAATATTACAAGTTTGTTCTCATATTATTACGACTTTATTTTGTACGAATTTAATGTCGTAATATTATGACTTTATTCTCATAATTTAAAAAAATCTTGTTGTGCGGCCCTAATACTCCGTCGTACTCAGACAGTGGAGCGCTGCAAATTAAAATAAGTTGGACTGCCTCTCTGGCCAGCTGGTTCATTTGTCATCACATCACAGCCTTGAGTTTCAACACCAGAACTCAAAACTATTGTGTCAACTTTGAATCTATTTCATATTTGTCACTACTTCACCTGGTGGATCAGAAGTGTAACAGCAGTGTGTTGATTTCATTCTTACAGATCACTTCTGTTATTTCATAAATTACATCAAGATGGCAAGAAATCTTCTCAAGCCCAGATTAAGAGGTCTTAAAGAGGCTTTTAGGATTAAAATCTTCTACTGGCCACAGGTCCAGGTTATTTTAACCCTAATTTTACAATCAAGGTCTGTTCCTGATCTTTTTGAGTTTTAAATCATGTTTTGTTTTTTTGACAGTTGTAATAATTTTGCTGTCATACCACTAGATGTCCCCAGTTACCAGAATCCAGCTTTCCATCAACCAGCTGTCTGTCATCCATGATCATCACACCACACCCTCCCAGTATACAACATACACTCCCCATTTTCTTTTATTTATTGTCAGACCTTCCTGCTTCCCCTGTGCTCCATGCTATGATCACTGTTTTATTTTTGGCTTTGATTATTTAAGTTCTGGCTTTTCATCCTTATCCTGAGTCCTGTTATGTCAACATATAAGTGTAACTACTCACCACCAATCGTAAAGAAACATGAGATGATAGCATAATCTGACTGGACCCAACTAATGATAATGGTTTCTGGGTAATTGTCAGTGGATTGGGTCATAGTGCTTCATTGTTTTTCCAGTGAATTTTGGCTGAGTAAGAGTTTTACTGAGTCCCAACAAGTCAAATCATCTTTTAAGGTCAACCAGTCAGTCTTGATGTGTCCTGTATCTTTTGTCATGGTCTGCACTCCCACCCTGCTCTGATTGGTTGACCCCTGGCCCATGTCTGTGTTTGCTGGAGTCAACAAACCTTCACGCGCGTCTCCTCTTTGTTGCTCAGACGCCTCCAGAAAAACACTCATTTCACCTCGATGCTAAATTTGGAGATGGTCTGCTGTTTGGAAGTAGTATGAGTGTGTGAGCTCTACCTGAACACACACTGGCTTTAAGGCATTAACATTGCTAACCATGTTGAAGACAGTGAAACTCAATCAATCATCTGTAATTTGAATTTATTTCCTAATGAATATAAACATGATAAGACTTGCAAATTAGAGCGTTGGAGTTTATTTGGCTTTAAAAAGTAATTCCTCGTATGATTCCAGTTAGACAGAGGACCATATGACTTCTTGGCTCACGTCATCTTGTGCATAACTGTGCAGCTGTCTGCTGAGTGAAGTGTTTTACTGCCAAGAGTCAAGTGAGTAAATGTGAAAACCAAACAACAAAACAAGTGTGACAGAGTTCACCTACAGCCTTGACTTTTTAACTTTTTTTTCAGATTATGTCAGACACCTACTTAACTGATTTTCCACCTGTATCAAGCTATTTGTCAGTAATTTTACCACATTTATATAAATCTAAGTGAGTGAGTGGCAGGTCCCTTTAGTTGAGTTGCCTTAATTTATCAGAATAGATTAAGCAACACTAATCATCACGTAGGCATAAGCTGATTCAGATTTGTAAAATTACGCATGCATTAGTTTGGTATTTGGTCCGATGTGGACATGCATTCTACGGCCAGATGTGAAGTGATGTTCTCAGCTCTAACRGATGCAAACACTGGTGTAACTGACACCTTCTCCCAAATGTATCCAGCACTGAGGTTCATGACCTCAACACCTTTTAGCAAATGCCCTAAACATTTTTCCAACCTGTGATATCAATGTCACTTCCACAGTATGTTTGACTCTGTTTGTTTCAAGCACATAAAGGAAGGTTAAATAAATGTATCACACTTAAGGCCAAACGTGGCCCAGCACAGCCTAAAAGATGTTTAATGTCTTAAAATAAGAGAATGCTAAAGCCAGCATTGATGATAAACTAGATCTCCCATAATGCATGTTGATTGTTTTACCCGCGAAACAACAGCCTGCCACCACTAGGTGGAGGTGCACAGGGTTTGAAAGTAGCTGGCAAAATTTGCCATGTAAAATCTGTTTTACTTTATTTTCAGCTACTTTTGTTGCAACCCMGTTGTAGTGGGAAGAATATCTCATTCATRAGTTGTAAATTCAAAACCTGAACACCCCTCTAGTGGGAATTCCCTGTCGGAAAGTGGGAGAGTTCAGAATTCAAGACGGCAGCTACTCACCACARCCCATCAGTGAGTAAATCTCTCTTACTTTTACTTTTAATGGTATTTCTGTATTGTTTTATTTCACATTTAATCAGTTGTTCTCATAGAACTTTCAGTGTTTACAAGAGGATGTGTTGAAACACTGTTTCTATGCAGGAAATATCACATAGAGCTGAGTTATTGTTTATTAGCGGTGCTCAGTCGTTGCGCTTAGATGAGGAACAGGATGTTTCCTGTTTAGTCAAAGGTAAACATGAAACATCAAAGTTAATGTCAGCTGGCCCTTTGAGGGTCACCCTGATGCTCATGTGGTCCTCGATAAAAAGGAGTTTGACACCCCTGGTTTAAAGGGATAGTTCACACCTTTTGAAATGGGCTACCATGAAAAGTTTATGGATAATTGATATATTCCCCTACTGTATAGCTTGTTGAACAACCTGGAACAATAAAAATCATGCTGTGTTTCATTCGTCTTAGAAGTCTTGACTTGGATCTGGGAACAACATCATACCTGATAATGTGTCTGTTGCAAGTCAGTAAACGAGAAGGATTTGCTCATTGACCAGGCTAACAGTCGATACGTTTCTCTGCATTCTGTTCATCCAAACATGTTTACTATAATTATAATTGGAAAGCACTGGATTACTTAGATCCAAATTGGATTAAATTTAAATAAAAAGGTTATTATTGCAGCTATTGCAACTTTTCATGCACAAATCAGCCATGTTGAATTTTGAGAACGAGGCAGTTGAGAAACCTCTGACTTTCCGAGTTGAAATTCCTACTTTTGAGGTGTTCCAGTTCATTTTTCTGACTTGGAAATTTTGACTTCCGAGTACAAATGAAACACAGCAAACTAACGGATCGTCTCAGTCTTATTAATCAAAAAGCCATTTATGACAGGAAAAATAAGTAATCATGACCTCCCCACAGAAATCCCACTTCAAAAGATTTGAACCATACTTCAATACACTAGGGTTAACATTGTCTTAAAAAACATTAGAAAATAAAAGAAACAACAAAGTCCATTTTAAGCACAAATTTTCTTAAATTCATATGAAAATAGCATTATAGGGCAATCATCACAAACATTCTCATTTTTTATCTTATAATAAAACAGACAACAGTAAGTAACAGTTGTAAGTTAGCGCATAACATTCAATAACTTAAGATGTTGAGCTGATTAAAGACTTTTGGACACAAAAATGGCCTCAGAGGAGGGTTTTTAAAAGTTGTTATAAATGTACAAGAAACAAACATAGCATCTATGTTTGCAAATCTTGTTTTCCTATTAGCATTTTATATCGAAAGGATTATAATTCATGAAGAATTTGCTTGTTTTCATCAACCCGAGACTGAAGGAAGACACACTTTTCTCTATTAAAAAAAGGACAAACGATTAACATACATGACAGATCTGTAGGTGTGAGCCCATAAACACACTCCTCAACAAACATACAACACAAACACACACTTATTCATGACACAAAAGTGGAACAAAGCACGGCGCTGGGAGGTCTCAGAAGCTTTTGATCCCTTATTCAACTCCTTTGTGCTCTGTTTGAACCCACCCCACACACCGAGGAGAGCCCAATCACTTACATCTCAGCAACGTGTTGTTTGCAGTATTTGTACAGAATGTTATTACACAGTAATACCAGACAAATAAATAAGAAACATGGCACAAACTGACACAGAAATCTCTAAGATGTTTTTCTTCAATATATCCATGTTAATCTCCAGTGTTTGTAATGAGTTAAACGGAAATGTGGTTAAAAAAGGAGATTTTTTTAACACAGATATTATGCTTTATGATGATTGTCTCAGATTATCGAATTTCAACAGTTAAATCCGTTTTATTTTTATTTTCCACCAAACGTTCTTTGTTTTCAGATTTGGCAGTGGTTTTCACAATCATCAAAGTTTTTTTCACCATCAAACCCCGTCTCAACTTTTGGTTCTGACATTTAAGTGCAGTTTCTCTCTGCTGATATCTAAACATGGATCCAGGAACAGGTCTGAAATTGCACTTTTCTCCACAGTTCAACAGCCACRAGTTGTTGGGTTTTTTTTTTGTCCCACTCAGACACCGTGTTTGAACACACTTCGTCTTTGAGCACCACCTTTGTAAAGAGAAGTTCCATCTTTTGTTTCTTTGCCTTTATCGGTTCTGCGGCGCTTCGTCCGGGAACAGTTACAGGTTCAGCAGTCATTAGTAGTGTTACTGAGGAGAGCTCACTGGACAAGCTGGTTACTGACAACGAATAAATACTTCCATTCATCTTGTTTTATCCTCAAATGTTCTCCAAAACGCTCCTGAAGACAAGAAAATCAAAGATGTTTAAATCCTTTTTTTATTTTACAAGGTGTGGATTTAACGTATTTATGCATGTATAATGCAAAAAAATGAGAAGGCAATGAGTTGGAGGTTCCTGGATGTGGGAGGATTTTGCGAAAGACATGATTGGTTGAATTGAATATCTTGGGTGGAGCCTGAAGAAGCCATAATAATTTAGGCCTAGTTCACACAGCAGCAATCCGATTTTTGCCCTTCCAACAATCTTAAGGACGCTCATATTGTGATGGCTCTAAAGATAATTTTAGCAGATATTCCTGATGTGTGTGGTGTGTTAAGAGCAATCTAGTCGGCTCGGAAGGACATCGGGACCGCTCCAATCACTTGTGGCGTTCACCTGAGAACAAACGAGTTCGCAGCCTGTTGAATGTGACGTGTAGCCTATCAGAAAGTGAGGTGACACAAACACGGAGGGGATTCCAAAATCCAAACGACATAAAAAAAACTGTCATGACTCACCAGAAAGTCCGCTGGATGTTGAAGTCATTTTGAATTGTTTTTTTCTCTGTTAAAAATAGTCCACAAATTATCAAGATTGTTTTTTTCTCTTCTCAAATGTTTATTTACTCAGAACTCACGTCCAATCTCTGGAGGTCATGTGACATTTTTCCTCTGACATCTGAATTCTCTCGAGATTTCGAGAAGCCTCGCGTGATTTCACRTCTGACATCTAAATGTTCATGAATGAAATCTGTTGGTGTGTTGTYTCTTGTTGTGTGGCTGTATACTGATATATCCATGATTTTATATCCTCATGTGTGGGGTCTCTCAGTCTTTGAAAAACAGCTGACAGTTTTAAAATCTTGCCRTGTGAACCAGGTCTTGGTTGGAAGAATGTCGTRCATGTGGAAGGAAGTGTAACCCTTCGGTTCAGCCTGAACAGCCCTAACCTGCCCGGATAAAAACTTTCTATTTTTGATTATTAATATTACACCAAATTTGAAGGAAATAAACATGATTTACGTGCTCACAATAATTTTACCATTACTATTATACATCAACAGTGTTGTACCAGTCAATACTTCATCTTTTAACTTCCCCTACAAGTCAATCTGACCAATCACRRTTTTCCCAAACTCTGCCCACACCCAAGTACCTCCCACTTAGTTAYGGCAGAGACCACTACTTGGAAAGATCTTACCTCAAAAACCATCCAWAAAGTTGGGGGGKGGTRKGTCATATTATACAYGGGAGYAAACTTAGACWGATTATTTGCTAATGAACTACCACAATAAATRTCAGTACTTTCTCATATATAACTGAAATATTGTGTCATGGGGGATAAATCATAATTTCCCCTTCTGCCCTCCCACTGTAGAATATGGTGTAAAGTTAAGCATGTCAACAACAGGAGTWGTGGTATTTCTTCATGTCAGAGGAGGAAGAACTTGGGTTTTTTTTCTTGTTAACTGCAGAGATGGAAAGAAGACTTGGAGGTCATAAGACCAGATTTGCTGCGCCTCAAAGCTATTTGTCTTACTAACGTAACAACCGGCTTTTGTTGTCGGACTGACCTGTTGTTGGACTGAACAATTTCCAGCAACATGCAGAAGCACACGCTGCTCCTCTGCAGCCTTTGATCATTTCGCTGTGACAAACATTTCAAGTGTGTCCTCAAATTAATCTATTTCCTCAACAGAGGATACTTCGCGAGAGGGAAGTCTGTATAAAATTAGGGTTAGCATTATACACGAGGATTCGATTTTTTATGCTTTTTAAGCTAAAAAAGAAATAGGAGGTCACACTGTACTCTATTGCTTAAGTGCATTAAACTTGAATTGTATTATACATGCATAAATACTTAATTTACTAAATACATAAAATATTTCTGAGTTTCCTGTATGCTCACCCGGCTTTGTTTCACATCTACATCAGCATCGCTCTCATAGCTGCCTTGCTCATCCGTTTGCGGTTCTTCCTCATCTTTCTCTTGATCAGGTTTGGACGAGCGGGGAGTCGGGGGCCCCTCGGGGCTGACGGCTGCCGTGTGGTGGTTGTAGATGTTGTTTCTGGTAGAAAAGATGATAAACACATTGAGACAGAAAAAGGATTTGGCGCTGTGTTTTAAATTTTTTGTATGAGTGTTTTTATGAATGTGTTTTATGAACAATGTTGTGTTATGTGTTGTTCTGTATACTTTAGTATAACAGTGGTGAGCACCAGCCCACTAAAGCGCAAATCCGCTAAATGTGGACATAAATATTTCATTTGCGCTTTAGCGGTCTTACTAATTTTTATAATTCATAAGCAGATTTGTGCTTTCTAAAATTAAAATGCAGCACCGCTAATAACTAATTATCTACCAGTGATCATTATCTTGAACAGCTGAAGYTATGGCTGTCAATGAATCACAACACACATGATCTATCCAACAGCACCCCTCCCAGATAAACACACTTATTGGAAACATAAACATCTTTGCTGACTGTTGCTTTTGGTCAGGGTTCTCATTTCCCACAATGCTTTGCATCTGCTTACGTAGCAGAAAGGCAATAGCAAAAACAGTCAACGTTTGTAATCCATACTAAAAATTTGTATGTATTGATTTATTTTACTTCACAATCGGAGCTCCTTTAAAAAAATAAAGTTTAAACGCTAGAGCTCAATACTTGATGTAACTGGTTGAAGCAACGGCGTTAGAGAAGTAGAAATGGTTTAAAGACATTATGCTGGTGAAGACTGACATCTAGTCGTCAACTGGAGCAACTACATGGAAAACTTTAAAATCCAAGCTCTTATTTTGAAGGGAAGATAGTTCTCCGTGCTTTTGTTTCCCATCACAAATCAAATCCGTCATGTACCCAGAATGCATCGCTTCAGTTTTCCAATAAACAGTTTTAAAATTACTTTATTGATGCTTCTTTAATGAAAAACTACAACAAACAAAAAAAAAAGACAAAGAAGCAGCCGAACTAGCAATGCTCATCAACTTTTTAAAGAATCAGCCGAACTAGCAATCCTCAACTTTTTAATTTTTACACCAGAGCTAAAGGTCTGTTTCAGGAACTCATYCCCAGCAATCGGCAGTTGTAGAATTAAGTTGTAAAAGAGTTCATACACCACTAGTTGGCAGTGTTGTGCGTATATTGTACATGAATTGTTGCCAGCTAGCAAGTGTCAAATTGAACTTGTGCTTTAAAATTAGCTTCTGCTAGTTTTTCTATGGCATAAATGCTTTTGAAGTTGCGGACCCAATTATTTTCATAAGTGCTTTAGAAATTGCAGAGCTAATTTTGGATTAGCGCTGCCCACCACTGAGTATAATACGTTCTATTCTATTCTATTCTATTCTATTCTATTCTATTCTATTCTATTCTATTCTAAATATTGTCTTATGATAAATGATTTATATAATTTTGTATTAACTTTTACCTGATTTGGGCGTGGTTGTATGCAGGTGATGTTTCCCATGAAGATGCTGCTGACTGTCTGTCTCCTTTTCTTTTAGTCTTCCCTCCTCCTCCTCCTGTTTTATTTTCTGAAGTCGCAGGATTTCTTTCTCTTGATCCAACCTCTTGTGCAGAAGTAGGAGCTCCTTCCTCTCCGCCTCCAACTTCTCCTCCTCGACCTGCAGCATGTGCTCCAGCTCGGGAGTCTCGTTTTGGCTCCTCCTGTCCTGCTCTCGAGGGTCTGGGTTCGGCTCTTTGGTCGGTCTGAACCTGCTCCTCACCCTCTCGATAAGAGTTTCCTTGCTAGGGCTGAACATCTCTTCAGGATTTTCAGTTACATGCTTAGAGAGTCCACCCGTGTGGCTCTTTGAAATTTTAGACGTGTCCTCTTCCCATTGCGGGCTGGCTGTCTGCGTGTCTTTGTTTCCTGCATTTCCATTTCCTCCCAACTTTACTTCCGCACCAACATCATCGGAGACCTCCACATTCTCCTGCTTCTCCGTTTGACGTTCGATCTCCAGAAGCTTAGTGAAGTTGTGAGCCCAGTGTGGAGCAAAGAGAACGGCCTCTTCGTGCTGAGACGGTTCCTCTCCTGCCAGACTGTAACCTTCTCCGGGCTGAAGGAAGGCGTCTGCTCTGGAGTTCCAGTGCTGCTCCAGCAGCTCCTCCAGGTGGGCCCTCTGGGTCTGCTTCAGCTCGTCTAACTGGTGAAGCTCGTCTTTGGAGTGCACCTTCACCTTCACAGGAGAAATGAAGTAAGATTCATCTCCACTCAGCGTGTTGGTCACTTTTAGCCACTTAAAGGGAAAGTTCAGATGCTCTGAAGTTGGAAAGGTTAGTTAATATCTTACCTGTTGTTAATAGCTCTTTAAACCAGTTCAGTTTGGAAATTGAATTTTGAAATAAACTGCTATTTACTTAGATGTTTGTTATTTGCAACAGCAGCTAACTGCAGCACTTCCTGCTCAGTGTGGAGCACTGTGACAGTCATGTTTTTATACTGCCAGAATAACAGAACTGCTATGGAATTAGCAAAATTGTTGTTGCTTTAAGACACTTTGGTCTTTGCCATGTTTGAACTGGCCAATAGCTCAACAGTTTGATCTAAATTATTCCATTTCTCCAAACTGAGGTGTTTTAAAGAGGTTAATTTATTATCCACAGAACCACACGAACTATCCCTTTAACTCTAACCCTGCATAAGTCACAAAACAAGATGTAATACAAGACTTGGGATTTTGTATCCATARCATTATGACCACTGAGCAACAGCACTCATATTATAAAAGGAAACATCATTTCAGCCTCTTCTTAAGATAAATTTTAAATCTGGAGATTGGATCAGTGTGTTTTCTCAAACAAATATAAGTGTATAAATGTCAGCGAGGTTCTGGTGATTTTACTATACAAATGCAAGAGAAGATCCAAACACTCTTAACTCTTAGCACCATCTTGCCTTTCACAGGAATAATACTTTAACATTTGCCGATCAATAACAATTAAAAGTCCCACAGCAGCAACCCTCCACTCCTGCAGAAGGGCTGAGAGCAATCTGTTAGAATCAGTYCACAAACAAACCCATCCCATAATCCACGGGAGACAGAGACCTTCGTGTCCTTTGTTCCTATTTTGACACTTTAGAGCTGTTTTTTTGCAGCTACTCAACATTTGGAGGGTGGTCACAATATTATGGTTGATCAGTGTCTTTTGCACAGACTTGAGTGCGGTTTTAAACAGTCGTTCATAAAACAGAGAGCAGTAACATCTGTACCTGCGTGGGCCCCTGACTGAGTGTTTGATTTCGATGCAGGTGGCTATGCTGCCTGCGAGAGGATTTCTTCTTCAGCTCGGGGGGTCTCTGAGTGGGCTGACATCTGCACTCCACATGATCCACGACTGACACCACCACTTTGGCATAAGTGGGTCTTTTGTTGATGTACTCAATCTTCATGACCTGGAGAGGGGAGGAGGAAGAAGGGGCGAGTCACTGAGAGCTGTTCTGAGTATAATTCACAGACAGCGTGTGTGTCAAGGGGCGTGCTTTATTTGTTATCTGTACAAGGCTCTGTTTAATCATATTATAATAATCCCACCCAAACATTCTCGTGTACCTGCAGATATCTAGTGTGTGTGGCGACGGGGATACACYGCAAGCTCTTGGTATTGCAGCAGCCCGAGCAGCGCTGCACTTCGACACACGGCGGCCACAGCAGGAAGTTGGCGTTGCTGCGGTCCAGCATTGCCCTGGTGACCTCCACCACTTCCGTGCGCACTTTACACAGAGCCTGCTGGGCCAGCTGGGCTTCTGAGGGATCAGACATGACTCAGGATCAGAGGAAATGACAGAAATGGTGTTGGGTTTAGTTTTGGAGTAAGTATCCTATAGAGATGTGAGTCACAGAACATAAATCAGCAATGTGAAAAGAGCGGAGAGAAGTAAGAGCTGAGTATGGCAGGCAGTTCTATCATTTAAGCTAGAGTATAGAAGTGCCAACACTCAGTTAGCTGAGACATTTTATTCAGTTCATAATCTCACACATGTTGATGTTATTACACTGCAGATGACAGGGGGTTAATGTTTCTGTCTGTGTCTGTGAGAGCATTTGTCTGCCATGTTAACAAAATAAAAGCATAAAAAAGAAACTCAAAAAGTTCTTGCTCGGCATGCATCTACAACTGAATAACTGGGAGTCAATCCAATTCAAAACAGGCTTGCACAAAATCTGAACTAAAAACTCACCGAGACTTCGTGGAGATCTGTGACCTTCATTAGCTGCAGCAGTCTCGTCTTCCTCATCTGAGACAAAAACAAATAATTTAATTAAGCAAACACATAAAATGAACACAAGTGAATTGTTTGCTGCTTCATATTCTATTTAAACCATTCTATCTTTGGATTTATATACAGTGGGGGGCAAAAATTTGGGCACCCTTGTTAATTTTATTGATTTATCTTTATAAATCATTGATTGTTTGGATAAAAGGAATCAGTTAAATATATCATATAGGGGACAAACACACTGATATTTGAGAAGTGAAATGAAGTTTATATGGTTTACAGAAAGTGTGCAATAATTGGTTAAACAAAATTAGTCAGGTGCATAAATTTGGGTACTGTTGTCATTTTATTGATTTCAAAACCTTTAGAACAAATTATTGGAACTCAAATTTGGTTTGGTAAGTTCAGCGACCCTTGACCTCCATACACAGGTGACTCCAATTATGAGAAAGGGTATTTAAGGGGCAATTGTAAGTTTTTCTCCTCTTTGCTTCTTCTCTGAAGAGTYRCAGCATGGGAGTCTCAAAACAACTTTCAAATGAGCTGAAAACAAAGATTGTTCACCGTCATGGTTTAGGGAAGGATACAGAAAGCTATCTCAGAGATTTCAGCTTTCAGTCTCCACTGTGAGAAACATTGTGAGAAAATGGAGGACCACAGGCACAGTTCAAGTCAAGGCTCAAAGTGGCAGACCAAGAAAAATATGGACTAAAAAGAAGTGAAGGATGTTGAGAACAGTCAGAGTCAACCCACAGACCAGCACCAAAGACCTACAACATCATCTTGCTGCTGATGGAGTCACTGTGCATCGTTCAACTATTCAGCACACTTTACACAAGGAGATGCTGTATGGGAGAGTGATGCAGAGGAAGCCTTTTCTCCGCCCACATCACAAACAGAGCTGCTTGAGGTATGCTAAAGCACATTTGGACAAGCCAGCTTCATTTAGGAATAAGGTGCCATGGACTGATGAAACTAAAATAGTTATTTGGGCAGAACAAGGGCCATTATGCATGGAGGAAAAAGAACACAGCACTCCAAGAAAAACACCTGCTACCTACAGTAAAATGTGGGGGTGTTTCCATCATGCTGTGGGGCTGTGTGGCCAGTACAGGGACTGGGAATGTTGTTAAAGTTGAGGGACGCATGGATTCCAACCAATATCAGCAGATTCTGGAGACCAATGTCCAGGAATCAGTGACAAAGCTGAAGCTGCTGAAGCCGGGGCTGCATCTTCCAACAAGACAACGACCCTAAACACTGCTCAAAATCTACTAAGACCTTCATGCAGAGGAACAAGTACAACRTTCTGGAATGGCCATCTCAGTCCCCAGACCTAAATATTATTGAAAATCTGTGGTGTCACTTAAAGAGAGCTGTCCATGCTCAGAAACCATCAAATCTGAATGAACAAGAGATGTTTTGTAAAGAAGAATGGTCTAAAATACCTTCAGCCACAATCCAGACTCTCATTAGAAGCTGTAGGAAGTGTTTAGAGGCTGTTATTTCTGCCGAAGGAGGATCTACTAAATATTGAGTTAAGGTTTTTTGTTTGGGTTTTTTGTTGTTGTTGTTGTTGTTGTTGTTGTTGTTGTTGTTGTTGTTGTTGTTGTTGTTGTTTGTGCCCAAATATATGCACCTGCCTAATTTTGTTTAACCAGTTATTGCACACATTCTGTAAATCATATAAACTTCATTTCACTTCTCAAATATCACTGTGTTTGTCCCCTATATGATATATTTAACTGATTTTTTATACAAACAATCAATGATCAATGATATAGGTAAATCAGGAAAATTAACAAGGCTGCCCAAACTTTCACACTCCACTGTATAAATATATGTTTTTGGTCATATGGATGTGTAAAAGTCCAAATGCACACAAAGATAAATGAAAAATAAAAATATCATAAAAATGTAAATAAAAAGATTTACTTACAATTTCAGCTCATTGATTGTTTAAATAACTACTGGTAATTAAAATGCATGTATCTCTGTGTTTATGTACCTTTTATTGTGTGAATTCTTTGCTGTAAAAACTTTTGTTGTATTGTCTGTTTGTGTWTTTTGTGTGTCTTATCAAACTAATTTTGTTTTTTATGAGCTATGAAAGATGAAACATGATGCAGCTGCACAATATTATACAAAACCTTTATGTAACAGATCAGAATAAATGTATTAAATTTAGTTATAAGATTAAAAATGGTATTTTGCAGATTTTGGTGTCTATTATTCTGTAAATTAAAGGTAATGATTGGGTTATTGTTATTGGGTTTTCTCAGTTCCTGAAAAATACTCATCTCATACCATCGTCTCAAAATACAGAGAAAAATAATTTTCAGTTGGCAAAAAAAAAATATTCCAAACTCTTTTTCCCCTTTCATATTGTTTACAGTTTCCTCAGTCATTAAACCTTATTTAGCTCACAAAGTATAAAACTGACAGTTTCAAGGTGAAGTGAAACAAAGAAAGTCCAGTAAAAATGACTCCATTGTTGTTTTAGTGTCTAGTTTATAAAGAGTGGGAATGATAAGCTGCTGTGTCGAGCTCTGTGTCTCCACATGAACTAAACATTTAAAACCTTCAAAAAAGCATGAAATTAAAAAGCATTTTTAGATTATTTCAATTCTTCTCACTAAAAGAAAAAAGCTGTCTGTAGACAGGAGGTGTAAATGAAACAGTTGGGTGTAAACCTGATGTTGTGTTTACAGAGTGCTGATAAAATCAGAAATCTCAGCTCTTTACCTACGGAGTCAGTGAGCAGCAGCAGCTGAAGGTCCTCTATAGAGGAAATGGGGCTGTTTCTAACCAGCTCCACCAGGGCTGCAGGCAAAACATCCCCCTGAAACACACACAATACATACTTTTATATAAAGTACACGTAAACAGGATACGGTTTTATGGTGTGTTTTGAACCTTGGAGAAAAAAAGTCAATGAAGATAATATGTGTTGCACATCTGTAGCCTACATGAGCAAACAAATGTTGTTATAGTTGGTTTTTTTGTATTTAAAATAATTTCTTCATTTATTTTAATGATGCAAACTCTTCTACAACTAAAATAAAAACATGGTTACCATTGCCTACAGGTTCAGGATTAATAAAGAAGTTGCAACAAATAATGGCTAAATAAGCTCAAATAATATAATTTATATCTGCAATCATGCATAAATCAAACTTTACATTTAACTTGATCACAAATTTCTTTATAAAAAATCTTACATTACTGTCAGGCCTTGTTTAGGAGCAGGAAGTACCTTTTTTAGATGTATTTTTTAATAAAACAACATTTGGCAGTAATTTTTCCTTCTGATCAGATATTTCCACTCAGTGTAGAAGTAAAGCAGGCAGCAGCTCTGCACGAGGATTGTAATGATTCAGTTGTGGGTTTTAACCCCTCCTCTGTGGTCTTTAATGGGGGAAGAGACGAGCCGGAGTGTGTGTGTGTGTGTGTGTGGGGGGGGGGGGGGTGGCTCAACCAAAGCAGACACACAATGGTCACTAAGAGCAGGGTGAATGACTATTGGCGTTGTGTCCTCTCATCTGCTAACATTTAGGGGTCAAAGGGGCAGGGAACGAGTCAGGAAGTGGGGGAAGGAGTGATACAGAGAGGATGAGAAGAGGGGAGGTGCATTTGGGAAAAAGAAGAGGAGGMATAATAGATGAATAAAAGAGTGATGGATCAGACGTGGGTCGAGGCTCTTCCTAACTCCGGTTCAAACGCTAGTGGATGAGCTCTCCGTGCTTTGTTATCTCACAGAGAGAGGGGGGTGTCAAATCAAAATGTGCTTTAGGGAAGGCAAAAAGTCACAAAAGTTTTATTAAACCTTTTTTTTAGTCAACAAACTGTGTGATTTCATCCAGCTTCCATAAAGTGCAGAGGCAGGCAGCTGTCCAGGCATGAACATTCCATCGATGTTTTCTCGTTATCAGTCGGCTTTTCTGGGAGTCAGATCATCCAGCAGGGAGATGCTCGCTGTATCCCCCCGCCCCCTCTGCAGAGCGGCCGATGCCCCCCTGAGGTCTCATCATGATCATTTCCTCCCGTTTACCGATGGAGCGAGCCAGCCTGCCTGCCTGCTCAGCTAATCGTTTCTGCTGGTAATTACAGGGTGTGCGCCTTTTGTTCGTGTAGTGGTGCCGGCTGTCATTGCAATTTGGGTTTGAGCAGGAAATATTAAATAAGCACTTCAGCCACTACAAACGAGGTGACGCAGATCGGACAGACAGAAAATGGAAACGGGCTTCATTAATGATGAACAAGAATGTTTCTGAAAGGTGGTCATACTGCCCACGACTCAAACATCGACTTTCTTCTGTGAAGCTCAGTAATCA